TGGGGTACTCACTGCTCCTGGGCGCCCCAGGAGATGTAGTCTGGCCGTGTGGCTGCATGGTACTCGTCAATGAGCTGCTGCACAACTTCCCTGGACGTGTCCAATTCGTCGAAGTTCTCCTTGAAGATGTCCTCCTTGCGGAACTGCTCCAGGAAGGCCTCCCGCTTCCGCAGCTTGTCATACTGGCGACAGGTCCGCTCAAAGAGCTTGGTATGTGCAGAAAGCAGGGGTCACAAAGAGCTTAGAGTAGCAATATGACCCAGAGAGCCAGGGAACCAGAGCTGGGCAATCTGCACATTAAGAGAGCTACAAGGGGGGGACAGCAGGAATGTGGAGAGGTGAGCCCCAACCAGGGAAGTGAGTGTTAACAGTGAGCCTCACCGAGGAGATGCTGGTATGGTTGGCCATCATGAGCCCACTGACCCGGTGGGCCGAAGGCAGGTAGGGAGACTTCCTTGACAGGGCCACCTGGATGCTGGCAGGGCCCCAGGGGATGAAGTTGGCCAGCTTCCGTTCCCGGATCCTCTGCAGACTCTTGTGCACCTGGCGGGGAGGGGGGTGGACACAGCAGTGGTGGTGGTAGCCTCTCCTCTACCCTGTGGGTTCTGGGGGTGGCACGAAGGGGCCTCACCTACCTGGGTGGGGTCCACCTCCCCCTGGATGATGTTGAGGATGGCGATGTAGCAGTGGTTGGTCTGGCGATCCCGGCCTGTGGACACCATCACGTTCTTGGGCTGCAGCAACCGCCTCATGACATCCAGGACCGTGGTCTTCCTCACGCTGGCCACCTGAGGGGAGAGGAGGCCACAGGGACCAGACCAGCACTCAGGGCACAGTCTGTGCCTGACTCTACCAGACTCAGGCTAATTGTTCTCCTTGGGAAGTGTCCCGAGATTCAGGTCTACACTGAGCCTCTGCTGTGGGACCAGGAACCTTAGCCATCCCCAACTCAGCAAGGTCAGCCTCCCCTGACCCCTACCCCTTCCCCGCTGACCCTGGGTGCAGGATCATCAGCAGACCCCACAGAGCCCGAGCCCTGCAGGGAGCCAAAGGCAGAGGGAAGAGGAGAGCAAGTCAGCTTGAAGCTGGACAGTCTGTGCCAGTCCCAGAGCACAGAGCCTCCCTCCGGGGGCAGCAGGGGGAGGGAAAGGCTAGGGTGGGGGCTGCTGGGGTTGCTCCTACCGACTGGTCCGTGGTGAGCGGGGTGTAGCCAGTCATGAGGAAGTGGAGTCGAGGAGTGGGAATGAGCGAGGCAATGAGGCCGATGAGGTCATTGTTCATGTAGCCGGGGTAGCGCAGGGTGGTGGTGCTGGCCGACATGATGGTGGACACCTGGGGACAGCAGTGCCACAGCATGGGCCTTGGCCTGGGGGGTGGGGTGGGGCTCCCTTCCTGAGGTGGCACTCCAACAAGGAGGGGTTCCAGCCCAGTGAGTCCAGGAGTGGGGGCTCACCAGCTGATTGATCTGGGAGAAGGACGGGTTCTGGATGTGCAGGCGGTCTGTGGCGATCCGGTTCAGGGCTGTGTTGTCCAGCACCACCTGGGGGGGACAGAAGGAATGGGCGTTCTGCCGGACTCTGGTCTCTGAAGCTTAATTTCTTTGGTGCTTCATCACCAGAAAGACCCATCTAAAAGGCATTGGTACAGGACTGGGACATAGGGGACTCAAAACAGTCTTTTTAAGTGCAAGAAAATAATTAAATAAGACAGGGGTGCTGGGAGTGGACAATGGCAGAATCCAGGACGCACCACACAGTCTGCATTCTGAGTCAGCCTCTTAAGTGTGAGCAGGGAGTTGTAGGGCTGGACCACCACATCGCTCATCTCGTCCTGGTTGGGAAACACTGAGTATGTCTGCACCAGCTTCTTGGGGTACCTGGGGTGAAGACGAGGGTCAGGGTAAGACACTGGAGGCTTGGTAAACAGGAGGCTCAGGATAGTCAGAAAGCAGTTGAATCTAGATGAGGAACTTGGGGTGGGACACAGGATCAGTAGAGAAGGGAGACTTGACTTTTGGAAGTCTGCAGCCCCAAAGGATGAATGGCAGAGACACATCTTAGGACCTAGGGTTCTAACTCTAAAGCAGCCATACGCTGTGAACTTTCATCTCTTCACCTAGGGCCTAGATTCTAGGCTCTGGATCCAAACACCCAGAGTGTAATCGGGTTCATGGTTATTGTATCTTCCCTTTCCTAACTACAAGAGCAAACAGAAGGGCTCTTTCACTGCTCCAGCGAATAGGAAGGCATAACTGATAGGCCTCCCAATTACTTGAAAAACCAAGTCCTCCAGCCCCACAAAACACAGACTTACCTGTCATTCAGCCGTTCTAAGAGGTAGGAGCCCAGGCCAGAGCCTGTCCCCCCAGCAATGGAGTGACACAGCACGAAGCCCTACATGGGGAAGGGGCAGTGAGTGCCTAGGTATTGCATTTCAAACTGGACCCATCCTACAATTTCTTGGACTCCTATTTGCCCGAGCCCTCTCCTCCATCTTCCTCACTCCATACATACAGCTTAGGAGACTCTGCCTTGTGTCCAGCAAAGCCCAGTGGCTTGTCCAGTGCAAAGGGCACATGGGTAGGTCTTACACCTAACAGATGGCTTCTAAAGGATGTTGCTAAGCCTTCTCTATGACAGCTCCCACCAGCATTCCTAAGACACTCACCTCTAGACTGTCACTACCATCTGCCTCCCGGTCTATGATGTCAAAAATGTCTTCGTGGATCTTCTCTCCCTGTATAGACATGGGGAGTGTCAGAGTGGGACAGAGCTATGGGACAAGGACTCTGACCTTGGAATAGCCACCCTGTATTCTCCTTATAGAACATAAAAGTCCTTTTTTGAAGCACAATGGCCCTGCTTTGTATTTGCATTGAGAGGCAGTAAAGCACAGTGGGTATGAGCAGACACTCTACAGCCACAGTGTGTGGGGTCATGTAGCTCTAGTTTTATTTAACCAAGTGACTCTGGGCGAATTACTCAGTTTCTTCATCTGTATAATGAAGGGAATAATACAACTCCTCAGTCCCTTATGTAAAATTCTTGGGGCCAGTTATGTTTTGGAATTCAAATATTTGCCGTGCTAGTAAGGTAATAAATACGGTACTTATATGTACCATATATATATGTATATTAAGTAAAACACCAGTGGGTGTCTGATGTATGCTAATCAAACATATTAATATTTCTGCAATGAAACATATAAGTAATGACAAGTTGGATAAAAGCTATAAAATAGGGATCCCTTGGTGGCGCAGCGGTTTGGTGCCTGCCTTTGGCCCAGGGCGCAATCCTGGAGATCCGGGATCGAATCCCACGTCGGGCTCCCGGTGCATGGAGACTGCTTCTCCCTCTGCCTCTGTCTCTGCCTCTCTCTCTCTCTCTGACTATCATAAATAAATAAATTTTTTAAAAAAGCTATAAAATAGCCTGTCTCCACTGAAATTTGTTTTTGTTTTTAAGATTTTATGTTTAAATAATTTCTACACCTAATGTGAGGCTCAAACTCACAACCCCGAGATCAAGAGTCACATTCTCTATTGAATGAGCCAGCCAGGCACCCAATATTTGATTTTGTTACTGAGTAACTTATAAATCTTGTGGTTTCAGAGCTTTTAGGAATCTGAAAAAGCAGTTAAGAGACTGTGAACCTATAATATTTACCTCTACAGTTGTTGGGAGGTTTAAATAACTTCTAGCTAAAGTGCTTAGTACGGCCTGGCACATAGCACTAGCAAGTGCAGTCTTAACCGTATTACATAGTTGAGTTAGCTAAAGAACTCCCCTCAGCCCTCTCTCTCTCTCTCTACTACTCATACAGCCCTGATCCGGTTTTGTCTCTCTCTGGCAAGTCATACCACCTGTCCTCACACAGGAAGGGAGTTGCGGGTCCTGCCAGGGAATAGCAAATGACCTGCGAGAATCCACTGGCCCAGTTGTTGCCAGCTCCTCCTCCATGCTCTGACAGGTAGATGTTCTCTGGGTTGTAGAGCTTGGCATAGGGGGAGTTGAGGATGGAGTGGATCACCCGTGGCTCGAGGTCCAGCAGCACTGCCCTGGGGATGTAGTGCTCATCGTCTGCCTGTCAAGGGGAGCCCAGGAGGGGGGTCGAGTCAGCAAAGGACCAGTCCTTCATCCTCCCAACTCCTGCCTGCCCTCCCTCCTCAAGCCAGCCACAATGGCTCCTCTGCCCAGCGGGTTTCCCGGTACCAGGCCCCCTGGCCAAGTCGCTAGGGGCACCTGGTAGAAAAAGACGTCCTTGCGGTCAGTGCCCTCGGTGGCGAACTCCTCCACGATGCCCTCGGGGCTGATACCATGCTCGGCGCACAGCTGCTTCCAGAACTCGAACCCAACTAGGGGAGGAGGGGCGGTCGGGGGAGAAAGAGGATATCTTGGTCTGGGCAGATTCCAACCAGGAGCTGGGGGACTGAGCGCCTGGGTCCGAAGATAGGAAGTCAAGCCTCGGGAGTCTCCCACGTCAGAGGAAAGCGCTGTATCGCCAGCGACTGGGAGGGGAGGGCCCCTCGCCTTGGGCAACTGGACACTGGGTCAGGAATGTCCCGCCTTTGGGAAGCTACGATTCTGGGAAGGGCAGATGGAGTCCAGGATCCCACAGCGAGATCCCGTAGCGTCTAAGGAACCTGGCTAGTGGAGGGGCCGGAGATTCGCTCACTCTGATTGCCGCACTGGCCCAACTGTAGGGTGATGATCTCCCTCGGCATCGCTCCTCAGGTGCCGGCGTTGCAGCCGCTCCCGCCAGCCAAGCCGCGGCTCGCGAGCCGCTAGCCGCACCACGCAGGCGCCGAACAGCCTGCTCCGCCCACGAACTTTCTCGGCTCCAATGGGAACGGAGTTCTGACGATGGCAGGTCCTTATTCATTTGGCTTCAGTCAAGCAGGCTGCGCGTGCGCAACTCCGCGCCGGGGCGCGGGGCACGTTCTTTGACGCAGCGTTCTCTCTCTCCTCGGGGTGGACGAGGGCTGGTCCCTGTACGCAGGCGCACTGTGGAGGGACGCGGCCTCCCCCGCCGAATCGCGCATCTGCGCAGTTGGTGTTTATTGTGACCGTCGGGCCGCGGCCCCGGATGTTGTGGCTGCCGGGGGGAGATGGCGGAGGCAGAGGGGGTGGCCGCGGCCCCAGGCCCAGCTCCGGGGCCGGCTTTCAGGAGCCGCCGCGCTCTGTCAGGCTCCTGGGAACGAGACCAGCAGGTTGAGGCGGCGCAGCGGGCCCTGGTGGAGGTGCTGGGGCCTTACGAGCCTCTGCTGAGCCGGGTGCAGGCAGCCCTGGTGTGGGAGCGGCCAGCCAGGAGCGCCCTGTGGTGCCTGGGGCTGAACGCGGCTTTCTGGTGAGAGAACTGGACCCGTGGAAACCCTCCCAGGCGCGAATCCGTCAGATTTTTCTAGGGCTCTCCCTCTCGCCTCCCCTGTTTTCTTCGCTGCATCGGCTCCTTCCAGTACCGGCCTAATTTTGCCTCACCTCCTTCCACCGCATCCCGCCTTTAGGCTTTGGCACCGCAGTCCTCCCCGTGGCCCTCCAGTCATCTTCCCTGCTTTACCCGTTCCCGCAGCCTCGCCCCGCACATACGGCAGGAGCTTCTGGTAACATCTTGAGCCGCTCGCAGTGAGCGAGGGCGCCTCGTCTTGGCTCGGGAAAGCTGTGTCACTTAAGGCCATCACTTTCCGTCTCTTGTTTGCTCCAGTATGGTTTGAAGACTATCCCCAGAGCTCTGATTTTAGCAGTTGTTATGGGGGGGGGGGGGTGCATGAGGCGTGAGATGTTTGCAAAGGTATCCCTAGGTGTGATAAGAAAACAAGCTTTAGTGATCTGAATTGGCACGTTAGGTGTCCTCCCCTGCTCAAGGGAAGTTTGTGAAGTGTGAGCGTCAATGAGAGCCTCCAGAGCTGCAACTTGAAAGAAAATTAGAAGCTCTTGAAGAACAGTTATGAAATAGTGAGAGTGAGGTTTCACCCATTTCAAAGCCACTTAGGATTGCAACTCATCCCTGTCCCAAGGAATTAGAGATTCATCCTTAGGCACGGTTTATAGGCGGGGAAATTGAGGATGCCTAATAGCGTGTGTGAATTTTCCTGAGCTGGAAAAGTGAGACTATAAATATGCTTTAAAAGTCAGTGTGTCATGCTTTGTGAAAATGGAACTGCTGCTTCTCAGTTGTCATGATCTAAGGTGGACATAGGTCTTCATAAGATCTGCTGAGCATACTTTGGAATTAACTCATAACTAGGAAAGGTTATTCACCAAATTCCAAGGGAACTGAAGTGGGCTGGCGGGGAGGGGCTTCAACAGCTGAATGAAATAAACTATTCTGGATAAGTATGAAATGGAACAGTACGTTTCCAAAGAAAATTTGTTTCTGCTAAAAATACATATTTTTTAGCTAAAAATATTTTTATCCTAAAATTTCTTGTTTTAAAACCAACCCGTGTATTATCCTTTGTCTGAAAGATTTTCAGTGAACTAGAGTAAAACAATTTCAAATTCATTGACAGAAAGATGTAATTTTCAACTATTACTCCCCTCACGGTTTGAAAGGGACTCAGGTTAAAGGTGTTGCAGCAGTCTCTGGCATTAGTTGTTTCCGGTCTTTAACAAACTTGGTGATAAAGTTTTCCTACAGCATTCTTCATTTATTTTTGGTAGTGCTTCTTTGATCCCCAGGTACCTACTTCTCTTCCTGTTCCTCTCTGGCAGAAACCTTTAACTGTAGCATCTCAATTGGGAGCGTTTTCCAAAATGATCTTCTTTTCCTTTCCCCATCTCCCCCCATTACAACCCCTAACCCCAGACCATCTAGTCAAAACTTCATTTTTTACCTACATTGAGATTGTACTCCAAGGGGAGAAAATTTGTCCTAAATAAGCCAGTTTGGATCAAAGTGTGGTTAGCTGACATATAAGCTTCATCAGGATTTAAATGAGTAATGAAACCAAGGGTTTGTTAATACAAATAGATCAGTAGCATGTATGTTGTTATTTCTGAAGGGACTTTCCGTAGGCCTCTTGCCTGAGAGACTTTTGAAGTAGAATGTGGAATTGAGGTCTGAACATGATCTCCTACTGAGGCACCACTTTAAATGTTACAGGTAGCTTTAATTTGCTGGCTCTCAACAAGTGTTTGTTAAAGTTTACTAATATGCTATGTTTAGAATCTCACTCAGCTCCCCTTTTTTACTCTTGGTCTCTGAAAGCCTTGTTGTGATTGGTCTTTGTCTCTGGCATTTCCTAGTAGCTTGCCTGCTGTGTGTCCAGAATATGGTTACTTGGTACCTTCCCACCCCTCCAGAAGTAGGTGGAAAAGAGCTATAGCAAAATGAAGGTGCGACTCCTGAGACTCTTGCACTTTAAGGAGAAGAGGACTCCTACCCCTGAAGGCTACAGAGTGACCTATAGTGTTAAACCCCCAGAGGCTAAGGTAGTTTGGTGTGACAGTTCACAGGATTGTTGTTTTAGGAAATGAGCTTCCTTGGGAGGCAGTTTGGGTTAAAACTGAAGGTTAGACTTAACATTCTAGTAGTATCATATTATTATGTATGTATGTTGACATTTCAGTTAGGAATGTTGAAGGGTAACTGTTTAGTTCTCCGATACTATAAATGTTTAGAAAATGTAAGGATCATTGGCTCAGGTCGGAGAGAAATTAAGTCTGAAAGTTTTTTTCCTTATTTGTGTTGAATAATGGTACATCTATTAACTAAGATGTCTTACACATTTTGAGGAGGTATTAGAAGATTGGATAGGAGTCCAAAAATCACCAGAGTTGACATAGGTATCTCTTAACTTTCTTAAAAAAAAAAAAAAGATTTTATTTATTTATTCATGAGAGACACAGAGACAGAGACACGGCCGAGGGAGAAGCAGGCTCCATGCAGGGAGCCCGATGTGGAACTCCGTCCCGGACCCCAGGATCACGACCTGAGCCGAAGGCAGACGCTCAACCACTGAGCCATCCAGGTGTCCCTCTCTTAACTTTCAGTAATATGGATTCTCAGTCAAGGTTTTTCTGTACCTATGAATGTACCCTCTTAAATTTTAGTAAAACAGAACAAAAACAACAACAAAATAAAAGAGATAGATGTATAGCCTTGCTATAGTATTTCAGGGCTTTCATTCTTTTTTTTTTTTTCTTCAGGTTCCAGAGCAATTATGGTAATTATGTCAGAAGTCTTCCAGTCTATATTGCTTCTGTTCACTGATAATGTTATTATCTCTAGGATAATAACGGCAATGTCAGGCCTTCCTTTCCAGTAGCTTGTGTTTTCATTAGCGTGAGCACCACCTGTAAATGAGAGATTTGAAGGAAGAATATCTGAGTCAGCAAGAGTATATCCTGACAGATTCAGAAAAGAACAGGTTGGAGTTACCTGCTGGTTAAAACTCTGATTTAGCAGATCAGGGGAGCACCCAGGAGCCCTGGAAATATGGATGCATTCTAAGCCCTCCCCTTTCTGTGAAGAGCAGCACATGATTCAAGGAAGGCTAGATGATTCTGGAGCTCCTTTCCAGTTTTTAACATTCTAGGATTCTAGACAGTCTTTAAATTAGGGATATTGCTTTAGAGCAATCACTAGCTGATTCCCTGTTGAGATCTGCTTTGACAGTCACTTGTCTGCATTAACCATCCTATATTCTAGGGGATATTATAGAATCTATTGTTTCCACAATTAAAAAAATAAAATTGTTCCATCACCTCCCCCCCAAATAAAAAAATGAGAAATGATTAAAGGTGTACAGCAGTTTTGATTTAAAAGGTCAGAATTTGAGTGAAAAACAACAGTGAGGAACAGGAAATGGAAGGCAGGGCCCATTTAAGCAGAAACATTTGTGAGAATTTACACATCGAATTTCAGATGAAATCTGTTGAGCAAATGTTTCTAATGCTAGTCTTCAGAAGGTTCTTACTGCTTTTGGTAGCCAAGGAAACACCCAAAGATGCCTTGGCTTACATTTTTTCGCCTCTCTTTCACCATCAGTTTTTATCTGTCCTAATTGTAAGGTTGGGTGCTTTCTGTCCATTAACATAAAGTAGGTGTTTAGCAGCTAGCTGGTTTCATTTCTGGTTTTGTGTAAGCAACAACTATCACTACATTATGTGAGTTGGGTTAATTTTTTTCATTCTGATTTACCAGTGACTGGCTCATTAACCAGATGGCCACAAGTGCCGTACAATAATGGGCTTTTTGTCCCTATAGGATGGGAAGCTTTGTTCTGAAGTGCCAGTGAGACAGGCTTACTCTGTAATAACAAAAGGAAACCAGAAATAGTATCTTCTTTGATGGAAGATAGACATGTGCTCTTTGTTTATGATTATAGCAAATTCTAATTTACCTGTACTAATGAGGATTCATCAGATAGTTAACCTCAAAAAAATTGTTCAGTTTTGGAATTCCTCATGATATTTCTGGAGACCAGTTTGTTTTTCCAAGGAATATTTTATTTAGACTGATAATTGGATTTATTTATTTATGTGTTTATTTAGACCCTATCCAACTATTCATTAGAGACAGAGAGAGAGAGAGAGAGAGAGAGAGGCAGAGACACAGGCAGAGGGAAAGTGCAGAGTGACTGATTTGGGACTCAATCCCAGGACTCCAGGATCATGCCCTGGGCGGAAGGCAGGTACTAAACCACTGAGCCATCCAGGGATCCCCGATAATTGGATTTTAACTCCTTTTTTTTTTTTTTTAATTTATGATAGTCACACAGAGAGAGAGAGAGAGGCAGAGAGAGACACAGGCAGAGGGGGAAGCAGGCTCCATGCACCGGGAGCCCGACATGGGATTCGATCCTGTGTCTCCAGGATCGCTCCCTGGGCCAAAGGCAGGTGCCAAACCGCTGTGCCACCCAGGGATCCCGGATTTTAACTCCTAATAAAGGGGATGGAAAGTTTACAAAAGGGCTGGGGAAAAAGCAGAAAATAATTGATGGATATATATCTCAGGAGTAGTAAAAAATGTGAATGTAAATGGCAATGAGTTACTAATTTCTGCTTATTAGGTTCTTTTAAATGGTAGTATCTAATTCTGGAGAAAATATGTAAAAATTGGCATGTGATTGACAGAAACATAAATTGGATAATCTTTCTGGAAAGTAATTAGGCAACATATATTAAGACATTTAAGTTAGTATCTTGGGGTGCCTAGGTGGCTCATTCAGTTAAGCGACCAACTCTTGATTTCGGCTCTGGTCATGATCTCAAGGTTGTGAGATCAAACCCAACACTGGGCTCCATGCTGGGTATGGAGCCTGCTTGGGATTCTCCCTCTCCCTCTGCCCCTTCTCTCTCTTAAAAAAGAAAAAAAAAAGTGTCTTTTTAGAGACTGGAGGAAAT